GTGACCTTGAGACAGAATTAGAGGAAATAAGAAAATATGAATTGAAGGGGCTATTGTTAAGAAGTCATTGTAAATGGATAGAAGATGGGGAGAAACCTACAAAATATTTTTGTGCCTTAGAAAAAAGAAATTATGTCAATAAAAATATTAGCAATTCAATCAATAATGATGGTAAATATGTAAATAAGCAAGCAGATATCTTAGAAGAAGTAAGGAACTTTTACAAAAAATTATATGAAAACAAAGATCAGGAGCTTGATGATGTAAATATTGAAGACTTATTCCAAAACTTTGAGGTTCCTAAAATAAATAATGATATGAAAAACATTTTAAATGCTGAAATTACAAAACAAGAAATACTTAAAGCTCTTAAAAATTTTAAGAACGACAAAACACCTGGAACTGACGGGTTTACAGCAGAATTTTTCAAGTTTTTTTGGACAGATATTAATTCATATATTCTCAAATCCTTTAATTACAGCTATGAAGTAGGTCAATTATCTTATACTCAGATGCTTGGAATTATTTCTATTCTACCAAAAGGCAATAAGCCAAGGGAACACTTAAAAAATTGGCGACCAATTACATTATTGAACATTACATATAAACTCTTATCTAGTGTCTTAGCAAATCGAATGAAACCAATTCTGTCAAAAGTAATACATGAAAATCAAAAAGGGTTTCTTGCTGGTAGATATATTGTTGAAAACTCAAGGTTATTATATGACATCATACATTATTGTAAAGAGAATGATCATTCAGGTCTTGTTTTATTGATTGACTTTGAGAAAGCATTTGACTCTATTTCTTGGAGATCTATTTTTAAAGTACTCAGATTTTTTAATTTTGGTGAGAATTTTTTAAAATGGATAAAGATTTTGTTTAGAGAACCTAAGTTATGTGTTATTCAAAATGGTATTTTTTCTGAATTTTTCCAAATGGGACGAGGTTGTAGGCAAGGTGACCCAATTTCACCTTACTTGTTCCTACTATGTGCAGAAATAATGGGAATTATGATTAGAAATAATAAATTAATAAAGGGCATTGTTATTGAAGATAAAGAATATAAACTACTACAATATGCTGATGATACAGTTTTATTAATGGATGGTTCAGAAGACTCAATTCGATCAGCTTTGTCTTAAGTCAATCAGTATTACAAATTCTCTGGACTGAAGCCAAATTATGATAAAACTCAATGTATTAGGATTGGATCTACTGTTCATACTGATGATAACTTGTGTGATAAATATCAAAACTTGATGTGGTCACAGGAACCATTTACAGTGTTAGGTATAGCATACTGTGTAGATCTAGACACAAACACTATGTTTGATTTGATTTTTTTGCCAAAGATTGACTCCGTCAAAAAGCTTATATCATCATGGTCTAGAAGACCTTTATCAACGGCAGGTCGTATAACAGTAGTAAAAACCTTGCTTTTACCTAAATTTAGTCACTTATTAATTAGTTTACCGAGCCCTTCTAAAGAAAAACTCAAAGAAATTGAAGCTATATTTTTTCATTATATCTGGAATACCAAAACGGCTAGGGTTGCTAAAAATATTATATGCCAAAGTTATGAAAACGGTGGTATGAGAATGACATGTCTTGATTCATTTTGTAAAAGTTTAAAAATTACATGGATTCGCAGATTATTTGATAGTTCATGTAAATCAGCCTGGAAAGAATTGCTAAAAGATTTAATTCCTGACATTAAATATTTAGTTATCTATGGTAGGGATTTTTCAAAAAAACTTAAGAAAGATACGGAAAATGTTTTCTGGAATGATGTTTTTTCAGCATTGTTGGATTTGAGATTATGTATTGATGATCAAACATCTATTTTAAGTCCCATATGGTATAATCCATCAATATGTATAAACAAGAGAAGTGTTTGTTATAAGTCATGGCTGAGACAAGGTATACAATTTGTTTTTGATTTTTATGATACAAATGGGACTTTGTTAGGATACCAAGACTTTTGTAAACAATATGATTTAAAAACACCTTTTACAATGTTTTTAGGCATAACAAATTGTATTAGAAAATTACAGTTGAATTATGATCATAATATAATTCAAAGAAATCAACCTTTCTTCCCAAAATTCTTACAAACAATAACAAAAAGCAAACAAGGGGCAAGAAATTTCTATGATGTTTTTATTAGTCAGAAATACAAAAAACCAAAAAGTGAAATGAAATGGGAAAACATTTTAGATCTAATGTTGATGAATTTTGGTGGAAAAAACAAAACATTCTGTTTTTTAACATAACAAATGATATACAGTTAAGATGGTTCCACTATAGAATTGTACATAGAATTTTAGCTACAAATACATATTTACACAAAATTGGTGTTACTGACTCAGATTTATGTAGTTTTTGTAAGAAACACCCAGAGACAATTTGTCATCTTTTTTGGGAATGCGAGTGTGTTGCAGAAATTTGGGAAAATGTACTGGATTGGATGAAAGAACAGTTTGGAGTTGATATATCTCTAAACAAAGTTGATGTTTTGTTGGGAAAACATTATAAATATAACAATATATTTAATTTAGTAGTATGTATAATAAAAAAGCATATTTTTAGAAATAGATGCAAAAATGTGTACCATCTTTTGAGAGGGTCAAACAAGAGGTTATGTATTATTTTAATTGTGAAAAATATATTTATAAGAAAAATGGGGAAATAGACAGTTTTAAAAAACGATGGAATTTGATAATGTTTTAATATGATTAATATATTTGAAAAAAAAACAATGCAGTTACAGATGTACATCAACTTTTCACTGATTATATTAAGATTTCAGTTGTTAAATTTTATATAAATATAATCATATATAGTATGTAGCGAAAGGTGTGTGAATGATATGTGAAAAAAATGTCCTGTCACATTATGATTGTGTAATATATATGTGTATTATGTATGTTACTTAGTGAACCCAGGGCCCCAACCCTGGCACTATTATATACTTGGACATGTGATGGGGCAATAAAAAAAAAAAATAATAATAATTACCGCTATGTACGCAGTCACAAATTTTCAGCTGACATTTGTCAAAGCTTGCTTAATATAAATGTAAGGCAAATAGTGACAGTCAAGAAAATCCATTTAAATTTCTACACACTGATTAAACAGAAATTGAGATTCTGCAGAATCATGACCCCATGGTAAAAAGTATGTCAACATTTTATGATATCAATTATACAATATTTTGATCTGGTGAATCCTACTTTATAGATTGGTATTATAGAAAATATATATACATATATTATATATATATATATATATATATATATATATATATATATAGAAAGCACAGAGAAATTCACTTTTTACAAGGATACTCACTTCCGCCCCAGCCCGGGGTTGAACTCGCGACCTACGGAATCTGTCTCCTAGCAGTATAGGAACAGCGCGTTAGACCGCTCGGCTATCTAGGCAAGTTAAAAACTTGCTTTCGATGCCGATGGAATTCTCACAACGCTGCCCTACACTACACGGTCATTGAGAATGGAAGTGAGATACAGTTATTTGGACATTAGTTTTTAGAGGATTGTTACCAATACATGTTGTGATGAAATTAATTTTATTCATAAGGCACAAATTACAACAACTCTTAAACTAATATAACTGCCCTAAGTGAAGGAATATTAATATAGAAAGCACAGAGAAATTCACTTTTTACAAGGATACTCACTTCCGCCCCAGCCCGGGGTTGAACTCGCGACCTACGGAATCTGTCTCCTAGCAGTACAGGAACAGCGCGTTAGACCGCTCGGCTATCTAGGCAAGTTAAAAACTTGTCTTCGATGCCGATGGAATTCTCACAACGCTGCCCTACACTACACGGTCATTGAGAATGGAAGTGAGATACAGTTATTTGGACATTAGTTTTTAGAGGATTGTTACCAATACATGTTGTGATGAAATTAATTTTATTCATAAGGCACAAATTACAACAACTCTTAAACTAATATAACTGCCCTAAGTGAAGGAATATTAATATAGAAAGCACAGAGAAATTCACTTTTTACAAGGATACTCACTTCCGCCCCAGCCCGGGGTTGAACTCGCGACCTACGGAATCTGTCTCCTAGCAGTATAGGAACAGCGCGTTAGACCGCTCGGCTATCTAGGCAAGTTAAAAACTTGCTTTCGATGCCGATGGAAATCTCACAACGCTGCCCTACACTACACGGTCCGTATATATATATATATATATATATATATATATATATATATATATATATATATATATATATATATATATATATATATATATATATATATATATATATATATATATATATTTTTGCAACAATATTTCTCGTACAGTGTACCAAGACCCATAAAAAACATTTCTTGTGTAAATGATAAATGTTTGGTCATTTAATGATGTTAATGAACCCATCTATGGTGATGTAAATTTAGTTTGGTCATGAGATCAAATCTAAGAAAACACAGAAGGCTTTATGGTAGATTTAATCACATGCAAACCATACTTACATCACGATAGAAGTCTTAAATGATTACATAATTAATTTAATTATACACTGTATATTCAATTGAGACTAATTGACAATCCATAGTACAGTATGTACTAAAGTTCTACACCCGTGAAATGAAATATAAACCCCAATGGTAGAAATTGTTAAATAAACTTGTCTACCAATTATGATGTCACTCTAAAAATTTTTAATTGTTTATGACTGAATAATTAATTTAGGTCACATGACAAACCATTAAATATCCCATACTTAGCTAGTGTTATTCAGAAAAATTATTTACAAAAGTAAATTTTGTGTTTTAATGTAAATACATGTACCTCTAAAAACCCTCTCCATTCACAAAGTTAAATTATTATTTTTTATAATCATGATGATACTCAGAAATGTTGTATTACATGTACACAAGGCCAGTGTGCGTCTTGTGACCCTGCTGGTTTTTTTTTTCATATGTCACACAAAAGGTATTTTTTTAGAAAATACAAAGAGTCATGGTCTAAAAATATAATGGTTTAATGGACATAGATACAAATTAAAATCCTCTTGTTAATGTCATATAAATGATGAATTGGCACCAAAGAATCACCACTGCTGATGAATCCAATTTATTGGGACCTGTAACATAGAATAAACATAAATAAATAACATCGATAAACAAATAACATTACTCACATTTGGATCTATAAATTTTTGATGCAAGTCACTGTGATGTAGGCAACCAAATTCATACAATATCAAGTATTTTTTTTATCTAATCAAATTCAAAATAATAACTGGAATTAAATTATATTTAACTTAAGTTCTTAAACGGTCGAATGATTTTCATTCCTTAACCGAAAGTTATTTTTTTTGGTACCTACATAGAACTTGATATCCTGTACATAATTTTCACCCTAAACTTAACATGCTTAGAGTGTTGCGTTTGTTTTGATTGTGAGTATATATATATTCTCCTAACAGACTAGGCGGTTAACTTAATTTTTATAAACTTACACAAGTTACATATACATAACTATACATGTGTCAATTTGTCTCCCTGGGCCTCATCAGTCAGAGAAGAGATCAAACTGAGACATCAAAATAGACAAAATATTCCCCTGATACCTTCCTGGTTTTCATAATTTCAAAAATTTTTAATTATTCACATTCATAACTTAAACATTTGTCTTCAACTTTTACATAAAAACTCATTCATTGTGAGATCATTTTTGTACAGAGTAATAAATTTCTAAAAAAAATAATAATTTGACACAACCAGGAAAGTTTCGGCCCATGTATACTATCTTCCTGCAGCAACACAACAACACATATGTGAGTATGATTAGATTTCGTAATAAAATTGGATTTAAATCAATTTTTAAAAGGTAGACAACATGCAACTTGACACTGGCCTAGAGCGGACGGAGAATGCTCATCTACCATTGCCAGTCTACTACTGGACTGACTTTATGCCAGTTGCAGTTGTCAACTATGCTGAAATTGAATTTATAGTTGTAAAATTAATTAGTTTTATAGTTATATTCTATCTCATTTAAAATCATGATATTGATTTTATATTCTTTGGAGAATAAAAAAAGGGAAATGATTCAAGCATAGATTTAGTGTATTTATGACAGATTGACAGTATATCTAACACAAGTAAGAGAAAGCATTAACAAAAATAAATAAAATAACTGAAATGTTAGATCGAGACTGAACTCTTTCTATGCCTAAGAAACTAAGTCCTAAAAAGGAGTCAAAAATATCCCTTTCCATACAGATATTATTATTACATGTATATAGCCATGACCATTGAATTTGGGAAATACATTCTTAAAAAAGTTTTTTAGTTCTCTTTATCCTCATTTGAATGGTGTTGTCCACCTGTGAATATTACGCTGTGTTTTTTCCCATCACTTCCAACAACTGTTATCCTCCTACCAGAAATTGATGGAAGAATCCTATACCAGGAAGGTAGACCTTGAGGATCATTAATATTAATGACTGGACCTTGTGTTTCTGATGGTAAAACAGGGAGTTCATTTGTATGTACTAGTCTCAATGGGGGATATGGTGCAACAGAGGGCCCTGACCTTTGATCTTGTTCTATTCCATCAGAAGGAGCAGCGTTTTGACCTGGTTGATTATGTTACTGAAGCCATTTAAGGACATTATCTTTTTCTTGTTTGGGAGGGTTTCCTCAAAAAATCTTTTCTCTTTCTACCCGGATTCTTGATAGTGGGCATTTTCTTTATCATGTACATTTTTTTTATGCCTATTTAGATTTGCCTTATCGTGAAATGTCTTCTTACAAATTGAACATTGATTTTTTTCCAAGCTATTTGTCTTTTGTAAGTCATTAGAGGATTTTCCGTAAGTATGGATTGTTTGAAAGTAATTGTTAAGTGTTTTTAAGTGAGGATTTTCAGAGAAATGATTAATTTCTTGGTTATTTGTATCCTTACTTGAAACTAGTGAATCTAAATCAATTTTCTTACATGCTGCATATTCTAAATTCCAATGATATTTACTTTTTATTCCAACTGAATGGGGTTGTGAAATTCTCCTATGTATTGGTACAGTTTCAGTTACCAATTCATAGTGCCCCCCACCAGGCCTTGTCAAAATTAAATGAATATGCGAATTAGAATTGCCAAAATTCAACAACCATCATCAGAGTGTTAGTTAGAAAGACTGAAATTGTTTGTTGGTAATGATGGGAATTGAACCCATGTCTGCAACTATCCTTACATTACCAGTTCTTAGAGAGTATTTCTTTAGTATAATTAATACAGAACAGCCACCACCTTTTAGTCAAGATAGTACAAAAAAAAATTACATCTGACTTTTGAGAGTTAATAGACTTTCTTGTAATTAGTAAATGCCATTATCTGCACCTTAAGCCATCCTACCAAAATTAGGACATAATGTTCTAAATTTCCTATATAAGATCAACAATATACCGCCTGTCATTATTTTTAAACATTGGGTTGGAATACAGGGAAATTGCTAAACTCTGTTGACAAATTAATTAAAAAATACTTTACGTTTGTGACAGAGGAAGATTATATTTAAATTCAATATTGTGGAGGTTGTCATTCAAGTATTCTTCTTAAAAAAACATCTACTTGTAGATTAACACAAAAAGTAAAAAATGTTGCACAGGAAATGTCAAGTGCTGTCAAATGATCAAATTTGACAGCACTGTCTATCTTCTTTAACGATGAGTTTCATACACTGATCAACAATTATGCACTTAATATATGTACTTATCCTGTCTCTGATAAAAATCTAGAAATTTCATTGGCTGAGAGCAATACTGTATTAAACGATGTTATGCTGTCTACCCACCTTACATTGCTAATGTGCCCCCTCCACATGACCTACCCACCTTACATTGCTAATGTGCCCCCTCCACATGACCTACCCACCACATATTTAAAATTCATTCGGATTGCTCTGTTCCCAAAACTTTAACCTGGTCTCTTGTATGGAAAATATAGGTCAGATCCAGCATCCCAAGCAAGTTTGATCCTAAGATGCATCATCCATGCAAGTTTGGTTTAGCTAGGGCTTATAGTTACTTGGGAATAAAAATGTAGGTCAGATCCAGCATCCGAAGCAAGTCTGGTAGTGTACATCTCTAGATGCATCATCCATGCAAGTTTGGTTCAGATAGGGCTAATAGCTACTTGGGAATGGACTTGCTCCTAAAACTTTAACCTGGGACGCCGGGGTATAGCATAAGCTCATCTCGACTTCGTTGAGGTGAGCTAAAAAAGTAAAAAAAAAACTTACTTGAGAAAAGTTACACAAATCCTGAAATGAACTAGTGCAAATAATGTCTTAGTACTTATCCAGGCTAAAATATTCCAGATATAACCACAGGCCTTTGGATCGCTTAAAAAAAATTGTGTGTGTATAAAAAAAAAATAAAGGTACTGCTGAACTCTTACACTGGGTACCTAATTTCGCTAATAAAATATTTTTTATTCGAATGCTCTAAAATTCTACTTTTTATTTAAATCTATTCATAGATAAACATTCTTCAATTCTACCAAAGCTCATTCCGAAATTCCATATATTTCTTGAGATATTCTGAAATCAATTTCAAAAATGACCTACTTTCTTTTACTCGACATTAGCTTGGGCCCCTGGCCATTCACATGTAAACAAATGGTGTTTGAAGTGCGGCGAAGACTTGCATAGTATTCGCAATATCTTTCAACAATTTAAAGTTGATTTCTTACTCCAGATTGTAATGTCAAGTCCTTAATAATATTCCTTTCGCGAAAAATTAATTTGAAAACGTCTACATCAACAACTACCGCCATGTTGATTATAATTGTGAATGAAGCCATGGTAGAATGAAATTTTCCCGAAATGCATTATATACCTTTCGATTTTCAAAACAATTAGACAGCTAAAATGTTGTTTATGACTTAGTTACACCAAATGATCAATTTAAAGAAAAACCTTGTAAAGCTTGAATGCAAATGAGCAAATATTCATTGAGTTTAGAATAAATTCCGGGGAAAATTTGTCCCGTCGTTCTTGCTTTACAATTAGTGAAGGCCCAAGCTGATGTCGAGTAAAAAGATTATTGTAAATTTGGGAATTAATTTCAGAATATCTCGAGAAGTATAAGGAACTACGGAATGAACTTTGGTAGTAATGAAGATTGTTTATATTTGAATAGATATAGATAGAAAGTAAAATTATAAAGCATTTGATTTAAAAGAATATTATTGGCGAAAGTAGGTACCCCATGAAAAGAGTTCCATACCTTTATTTTTTTTTTTTTCAACAACTCATTTTTTTTCTAAGCGATCTAAAGGCCTGTGAGATATAACCATGGAAATTGAGTTCAGAGAGGGCAAACAAACAGCAATTTAAAGTCTAAAGACTAAACTGGATTGCATGTAAAATCATTGCTCACAGGGGATAAATAGATATCACTTTTTGCTGTGTTAAGATTAAGGTTAAGATTTCAAAGCAAAAGAGATGAGCGAAAAAGACCCAAAACATACGTTGAGGGCAGTCATCATGTTAAAATAATAAAAATAATGCTGATGAAATATATTTCTAAAAGGTTACAATTTCCTGCACACTACTCTAACATTTGTTTGAGCTAAACCCAAAATGACAAAGAAAAAAACCTAATAAAATTTAAAAAAATAAACAAAGAACAAACATACAGACCCCCAAACACAAAAAGAAAAACAAATGGCATAAGCCGTCACTTGAGTATTAAAAAAAATCCATAAAGGGTCTATAAAGTATTAACTAAAAGCTGCAAATAGAACTCAGGTTAATATTTGTAACAAATTAATTTTTAATCTCATCAAATGATGCATTTAAACCAAAATTAATAATATCTAATTATTTTTAAGACTTATGATGGTTTTGTTGTTCTTGAGAAGATTTCAAAATGATCTTTCCTATACATTTTTAAGTACAACTTTGGCCACATGTTCAATGTATCCCCTCCGTATTCCAAGAGGTCAAAATTTGAATAAATTTAAAGAACATTATCAAAAGATGCTTCCATATAAAGAGAGAGGAATCATGGCTTTCTTGAAAATAAGCACACACCCGCAGCAACAGAAAAAAACAGCTCATGCTTTTGGTAAATAATTATTATACAAAATTTCAGACAAATCCATGCTTTAAACAGCAAAGAAATCAAAATCAAACCTACAGACAGATATGCCATTCCACTAAAACCCTCCCTTCATTTGTGGAGGTGTAACAATGCTAAGAGGCATATTCACCATCACTATTTTAGTAGTTCAAAGTAGAAAAATTGCATTTATATTCATTGGACACAGTTAAAATCGTTTGCACATGACTATTCCAATATGCATATCTCTTACTCTATAACATCAATCTTCCACAAAAGATGATTCTTCTTTAATGCTATCACAGCAATAACTTTCTTCTCAGCTGTTAAAAATCATGCTGGTATTTCCATGATTTAAAACGAAAGTTGAATGTTAAATTGAATTTTGATCCCGATCAAAATTCAGACAAAGAAAATCACAAGACAAATGGACACTTTTTGATCATGAAAGCTGACAAGAGTCATTGCTCATGTCAGCTTTTTTAAAAATTAATACCAGGATAAGTATAGAGGTTGGCACATGTCAAATCTACCATGATGATCTTCAAGGAAGTTGATCATGTGTCCACCCCATACCTACATCCTGATAGATTTTAAAATTGATATATATACATGTCTATATATATATATATATATATTATAATGAAGATCATTGGTAACTTTACCAATCAAGAAGTATGCTCAACTTACTTGTGAATTTGATTTCAAAGGAAGGAGTCAATGGGTCTCTAAAAATAAAAATCAAAAGCAAGCTTAATTTTAATTTACATCTTTTTAAACCTAAAATTATGTGTTAAAAAAAAGACACAAAACTGAGGAGTAAAAGTCAACTTGTTGAGCCTATCCTGGAAGCAAAGATATTTTGTTATATGTGGTTTATGATATGGCTCTAATGCAAATGACATTTTTAAATATAACATATAGTTTCACTGACTGTTTTTTCAAGCACATAATTTATTTTCATAATATTTTTAACAGCAATTCAACAGAAATTTCTTTTCATTTATTCATTATTTTTAACTCACCTCTCCAAGTAGTTAATTCTGCAAAGAAATGCCAGCAAGCTACAATATTAAAATATTAGTTATTACCATGATTACAAAGTTATCTTTATAGCTAACTTTAATGTGAAATATTACAACTACATTGTACGTTACAAAACTTTAATTGCTGTTGCAATACCACTCTAGGTTAATTCATTTCTTGAAAATAAAGAGCTCAATCATTTTACTCAATTACATTTGTATTGTACATGCTGTAGGTCAAAGGATTTTTAGGGGTTAACAATAAACTGATTTAAAAATACATATTGATATTTACCTGAATCCAATATACAAACATGTATTAAGTTTTGCACCTTTTTGATAGTATACATAGGAATATCATTGGCATGCGCCCAGGTAAAATCTCTGAACAGACAAGATGTAAAGTAAAACACTTTCTGTAGTTATCCACCATTGATATATTACATGAACCATACTTACAGGAACAGGAGACAGAAAATCACTGCCATCATTGCCATGCAGCATTCCAGTAGTTACAATACAATGCACTGCTATCTATAAAACATGCATACATTTATTAACTTTACATTAATAATGACTATAAGTTGAGTTGTAAAAACAGTGTTTATACGCAAATCCTTAGAGTATGGTCATTTCAAGCAAAATGCAATGATCTAAATTGACAAAAATTTACAGAGTGATCAAAGTCATTGACACTGGACCTAGGCCCTTGGAATTGGGAATTTAACATTTTATCAATACTTTCTTATCAACATGGGTACATCCCACTAATTATTTTTAGAATCGGTAGGAGAAGAAAGTAGTGCAGAAAAAATTACAAGTTCCTTAAATTGCAGACTTGCATAAAAAAAATTGGGCAGGTGTACTGAACTGAGCCTCACACTTGTTGATAAGGAGTATCTTTCCTACCAAAAAAGCTTTGAAAATGTAATTTATCAAGAAGATCAGCCGAATTATTTTGTGTATTATAACGCCATTGAGAATTCTGAAATTCCCCTACTTTCACTTTCATTTTTAGAGGTTCCCGCAGACAGACGCATTTTGCCGGAAAACGAATCTGACATGCCACCTCGAGATTTTAACCAAGGACAGACAAGTTGATGTGCTTTGATTTGAGGGGTCACTCACTACCGAACGAAAATTAGGGACATCGCTATGAGAAGAAACGTTAACATTGTCGCCTATGGGAAAACAATTAGTGGACTGTACCCATATTAGGAAGCCTATAAGTAAGTGAAAGATGTCATAAATCTTGAATTTATTTCAAAGTTGTTGTTTTCTATTATTTTCAATTGTTCAAATTTATGAAAAAAACAATTCTTATATTGTTGATACACATTTTTAAACAAATTGATTCATGAATAAAGGGTCTAGCCCCCCCCCCCCCCACCCCCGGGAACAGTCAACATGTATCACCCCTTGTTTACACATGTATCATGTAGATTAAATGTATCGATTTATATAATTTATTTATTCAGAATCATAAATGTATAATTTGATTAAGAAGCAATTATGTAGAAGTACATGCTCCACTGTGGTTTATTTTCAATACACAAAAATTCACAAATGAGTTCGGGATCGGTATTCAATCGGGGTCAAGGTCGAAGTGAAAGTAGACTTAGCAGAAACTGTTCAGGGAAGTGTTAAGCAGTATATAGGTGATGGGTATTTGTATTTTACACAGGAGGTAAGAGGTATACCCTAGTACAATATTTGTAAACAACAATTTAATGTTTTTGGAACATGTCGATGATCGGCGCGTCACATACTTGACATACATCATTTCAGATCAGTTGCGCGGTCAAGCTGGGTACAGTTGTCTGGGAGTTAAACGATGTGTGTGAACATGCACATTAACTGATTTTTCTCATATTTTTTAGCAATTGCATTACATGTATTTGTTGAATGTTCAATTATTGTCAGTAAAACATGATTTTTACCTATATAATTCTGCTGAATTTACTTAATTACCAATGTAAACAGTGTGATTTCAGGTGGGAGCAAATTAATCATTTTTTAAATTAATTAATTTCAAGTAATGGGCATAAAAGGAATATGGTAAAAATTGTACGTGTTGAATGTCTGTGTGTCTGTCTGTCTGCAAATGTTATATTGTACCATTTATTGTATTGATTTTTTTTTAGGTTTATGGTGATTGGTACAGGAAAAACATGAGGTCCATGCAGATGGTGTTTAAAACTATTGGCCAGCAAATGCACACCCATTTGAATACATCTTGAAAAAGAACCAGCAAAATGTGACAGTCGGCAAAATATGTAAGTTTAAGTTTTGCTAAAAAAAATTTCATTAGAGTGGGGGGATGGGGTGGGGGTGAGGAAATTTACATATCAAATAGGTGATCAGAATGTGAAAGTATTTAGCTATAACTAATCTGTACATGCACTGCTATATACATTTTGCAGCTCATATAGATTTTCTTTTCTTATTTAAGATTTTCAAATTAATTAGATCTACATCTTTGTATATTACACGGATATAAGAATTGAAATTTCATGAATATTTGACAGTCAAAATTATGTGATTTGTCAGGAAATTCAAAATTTTGTCTCATTTTCCTACAAATTACAAAATGGTTACCATGGAAACAAAACAACTTTAGTGAACTATTTATTTAATCTGCAACACCCCATATTTTTATTTTTTAAAGTAAATAATAGTATATAAGCACTGATTTTGTCTTAAATGAAAAGTACGGGAAAAGTAATGATACGCATGTATTGAGCTATCCATTATTATGATGTCATTGTGACGTCATAGATGAGTAAATTTGCATTGGTATAAAAATTGCTTTGAAACAAATGATTCTATATAGGATTATAAAGGCTTATAACTTTTTCATTCATAGTCCAAATTTCCTGAATGATACATCAATGGACAGGAAATAATAAGTACTTTTTTATTTTACTACTTTCGGGGTATTTGTGAACTTCATTTTTTTGTCATTTCTGGAGAAACTATGAATTAGAGGGTGAAAAGTGGTCATATTTTGTGCGGAAATACATTGATTTTTTAAAATAAGTGAAATTGACCCAATTACGTGCTTGATTATGATTTGACTATATGTATTGAAAGATATGAAGGTGATTAAGAATAGTATAAATGTGTCGATAGGCTAAAATTTGACTCAAAATTTGGGTGCAGTTTTGGCTAGATTGGAGCATTTTTTAAGGATATTACACATAGAACTGTAAATGCTGTAAAATCTTAATTAATTGTTGAATTTTCATGAAACTTGGCATGATGTCTCTACTTATGCTCTAGATTGACAAACAGTGTGAAATATTGTAAAATCAAAAAAATGCTTTTTCATATTGGGTACATCCCACTAATTATTTTTAGAATCGGTAGGAGAAGAAAGTAGTGCAGAAAAAATTACAAGTTCCTTAAATTGCAGGCTTGCATAAAAAAATTGGGCAGGTGTACTGAATTGAGCCTCACACTTGTTGATAAGGAGTATCTTTCCTACCAAAAAAGCTTTGAAAATGTAATTTATCAAAAAGATCAGCCGAATTATTTTGTGTATTATAACGCCATTGAGAATTCTGAAATTACCCTACTTTCACTTTCATTTTTAGAGGTTCCCGCAGACAGACGCATTTTGCCGGAAAACGAATCTGACATGCCACCTCGAGATTTTAACCAAGGACAGACAAGTTGATGTGCTTTGATTTGAGGGGTCACTCACTACCGAACGAAAATTAGGGACATCGCTATGAGAAGAAACGTTAACATTGTCGCCTATGGGAAAACAATTAGTGGACTGTACCCACACGATCAAAGCATGTATTTTTGGTAAAGAAATTGAGTACACACAAGTATTTCCTAAAATTTACTGAATTCTTTGAGAATTCTGGTCAAATGTGTCACCAGGCAAGTAATTAGTAAATATTCAAGGGTTGCTTTCATTTCTTTTGAGATAAAACATACATTTCTTATCAAAGCATGTGTTTTTGGTAAAGAAATTGAGTGCACACAAGTATTTCCTAAAATTTACTGAATTCTTTGAGAATTCTGGTCAAATGTGTCACCAGGCAAGTAATTAGTAAATATTCAAGGGTTGCTTTCATTTCTTTTGGGATAAAACATGCATTTCTTATCAAAGCATGTGTTTTTGGTAAAGAAATTGAGTGCACACAAGTATTTCCTAAAATGTACTGAATTCTTTGAGAATTCTGGTCAAATGTGTCACCAGGCAAGTAATTAGTAAATATTCAAGGGTTGCTTTCATTTCTTTTGGGATAAAACATACATTTCTTATCAAATCATGTATTTTTGGTAAAGAAATTGAGTACACACAAGTATTTTCTAAAATTTACTAAATTCTTTGAGAATTTTTGTTAAATGTGTCACTAAGTAAGAAATAAGTTAATATTCAAGGGTTGCTTTCATTTCTTTTGGGATAAAACACACATTTCTTATAAAAGCATGTATTGTTGGTAAAGAAATTGAGTACACACAAGTATTTTCTAAAGTTTACTGAATTCTTTGAGAATTTTTGTTAAATGTGTCACTAAGTAAGAAATTAGTTAATATTCAAGGGTTGCTTTCATTTCTTTTGGGATAAAACACACATTTCTTATCATATCATGTATTTTTCGAAGAAATTGAGTACACACAAGTATTTCACAAATTTTCACTGAATTATTTCATATTTCTAGTTAAATGTGTCACCAGGCAAGTAATTAATCAATGTTCACTGTTCGCTTTAACATCTAATTGTATAAAATGAACTTACCAGGAGGAAAAACATCTCTGTGAAAATCCCAGCGTCTCTTCTTAGAGCCATATTGAAAGGAAAGACTGCGCATGCGCAAAAAACTGCGCATGCGCGAAAGGAACTGAGGACTGCGCATGCGCGAATGCCTAGTCCTAAGGTTGTAAACAGTCGCTTTCGGAAGAATTTGGGAATGTAAACAGCGAAGAGTCCAGTCATCGAAAAACCGTTTTTCTTCAGCTTGTTTGGATGATTTAACCGATTCTTACTTGTGTAAAAGTGTGATAACATCTTTTTCTGTTAAATATACTCTGTTTATTTGGATAATTCCACAGGAACCGTCAACAGCGGACTTGAATTGAAGATGTGCGAGATCATGTAAGTATACTGCAAACTGCAAACTGTAAATGTTTTCATTTTTATACATATTTATCCCTTTAAACAATGTTCTAATGTCTTAAACTATAAACATTTTATTCTAATTAATATAAACAAAAATTGGGTGTAGTAGTGTAGACGGAAGGGGATAAATATTTACAAATACTCTGTCATATGATTCAATCAGCTATCAATGAGCCCTAAGACTAAAACAATCATATGTATTATGCCTTAATCAGGTTGTTACTCTTATCATTTCCCTAATAAGGTCAGAAAATAGTTTCTTTTGTTTCAATGTAATTTATAATACATGAATGTAGAATCATCATGACCATTTCTAATGCTACTGCTAAATGTTAAATAAGCTCACTCAGCAGTGCACTTACATAGTGTACATGTATGTATGATGTATTGTGAGTTATGAAACCTAAGTTAATCTTTTAATATTCATCATTACAGAGAATGGATTTGCTTGGACTCATGCGTCATCACAGTATAAAGGATTTTAATCTAAAAAGTATGTATGATTTTATTTTTATTATGTATTTTTACATGGTCATTAAAATACATAAACATCATTATCTGAGTTGAGGTGGCATGTATGCAGTTTCTCGGAACAAGTGATTTCTTCTTTCAAAAATCTTGAGAGTAAAAATTGAAATTTATGTTGAATTTTTCTGGTCATCATGTTGTTGTTACATAGATATTTTCTTCTTTTTCATATTCAAATTTCAAGACCAAAAAACAGAAAACCAAGAAAAAACATGAAATAGATAAATACAAGCAGAAAATAGAGAAAAGTAACTAAAACAAATGTATTCATACTTGTTTGCAAGTTGACAAGATAAACTGAATTATAATGTAAAGTTAATTATGTTAAATAAGATATGACTGAGGTTGCAGTATAAGATTTTATTTTTCATGATTTCTAAATGCATCACTTTTGGGGAAGAAATAGGTGAAATTAAAGCCAATTGTACAATCAAAAACATTTAAAATTTTAAATGTGTATGAAACGTGTATGACAAAGTTTACAATCTACATGCCTATAATGTTTTTTTTCTTTATTTCAGGAAAATGAGGAAATCCTGCACATTTGAAGCTGTAAGAATGCAGTTCATGCCATATGCTGTTAGAGTACATGTAAATGATGAAAAATGTTCAAACCAATGTCAAAGAGTCCCAAGTCTGAAATCATGGTGCTTTTATTAAAGAGATCAGTGTGTGTTTTCTGTGAATTGCTGACATTTGTGTAACTGTTCGGTTTATGACCATCTCTCTGACAATAACTCTGACATTTGAATTTCAATTTGATTGACGGATAAGGAAGCCAAATCTTATGCATGTAAAACATGATACAACTGTAATAAAAACATTGATAAACTTAAATTTAAACAAAATTCATGTACATGTATCTGATCTTTGCATTGAATTTATAAATGCTGTACATCATGTACATGGATACTTTTAATAACTCTGTCTCATGGTAATGGAATATTCAATTGAATTGTTAAACATTGTTGAGGAATCACCTTGAATAAAAATATTGTGAACTTGATAAAATATTTTTCCTTATTTAAACGCTGAAATTTTAAGATTAAATGTCAAGGTCAAAAACAAGGTTTACTCAAGAATGTGTTATAAATGCTGTAAATACTGTGAATTCTTATGGATGTTTTATAAGATCTAAGGAATGTGTGGAGCATTTTAATATTTCTCAATAAGACACATTCAAGATCAATTAATGGCAAGGTCAAATACAAACCTGGTGTAACGTCCGAGCAATTGTCAGATAAATTAATTAATCCAAGGTAGCAATAATATGTAAAATATAAGTAAACGCTCAATGCGTAATCCAGGTATTTAATCGCCCCCGGCGATTTACTCTCTCCTTGAAAATCAAAAGTCAGTATCGGTTTAAGTTTTATTTACACATAATCATAGTCAAGAATAATCCAAAATCAACACAATAAACACTGTATAATTAATCCTGAAACAATATTTGAGCGAAGTATATCCCAGCACAACTATATCAAAACTGCGTCCCCGTATCGAATAAGTACCCGTATATATACTAAATGACCATCACTCCTAAGGAGTGATGGGGTATAAACAAAGGACCGTCACTCCTAATGAGTGACCGGGTGTAAACAAACTATTCTAAAAATAGAACGAGTGACTGGGGTTACATAAATACTGTAGAATATTAACTTAACAATTAAAATTATAAATTTAGGAAAAGAGTGACTTCAAAATACGTAACAACTTCCCCCGCCTAAGAATTTTGACTCCGCTCAAAGATTATGTACATACAAACATACAACATTTTCAAATGCAAAAATAGTAATGATAAACACGTTCAATTAGATTCAAATATTTACAAACAGTCATATTTACACAATAAAATAAAATGGCACAACTGTTCTTGTATCCAGAGTCACTGCATAAAAATCACAAGGTAGAGTTCACGACACGCACGTTACGATTGTTAAAGTGATATGGCACTTCGGTGATAATTTCCATTGCAATGTCAGCAAAGTTCACATTCATTGGGTCCATATTTCTGGAGTGCGCGATGAATGTGTTACGCACGACTTCTGAGGTCCCGTCCGGATACACAGTCTCGGTCTTAATCAGAGTTAACGAAATCACGGTCGTCTCAGAGGTACTTCCGGTTTCGTTAGTAGTGTCCATGTCACTATCCTCTGTCGGCACCGCGGACTCGTATTCTTCATCTTCCATATATTGTTCGTGGTCCTCTCCCCGAAAGTCAAAGTCACTATCCCCGCACAGAAAGTCGTCAACATTTACTGCTGGCTCCTCGCGCATAATGTCCTCTAGCAATGACGAACTCACTGATAGGATGTCGCGATTATCCGGGTTAGGGTCAATCACCATCTTTTCCAACTCTTCTTCGTCTGACGATACGTTCTCATACTCCAGTTCACACGTTTCATCAGAAGAAATGTCACTATACTGGTCACTGAGAACTGTCACATACACGGGTTTCCTCGACTCACTCATCATGTCGCGCGTCATCTCTGTCCTGTCACACTTTGTCATTTCAGCCTTAGCCTGCTCCATAGTTAGTTTATGTACATTAAACAAATGTATCCGTAAATTAAAAAGTCTACCAAAAGGTCGTTGGCAAAAATTACACTCTTGAAGAATGCTGTTCTCTCTTATGTTGGTTTAACGCACTAATTGAATTTAATTGAATTCTGCATTGGTCGCATACAGCCATTCGCATTGAAAATAAACTAGAACTGGTTAGTCTCTGAATCTGGCAGGTCTCTTTAGTACCCGTCCTCTTCTGGTCATCCTCAACTTGGCTTCTGATTGGTGGAAAATTTTAGCGGGGGCGGCTATTGTTTCTGCATCTCTTTGAAGTCTCGGTAGCGCACGACCGCTGTCTACACTATTGTCCTCCCGCGCTCTAGGCGTTTGATCCGCCGACAACGTCTGGTCAGGGTATTCGTCAGGGAAGTTCCTTGGGTCACTGGTTGTTTTAGATCCCCGATAGAGTTTAATATTATCCGAATGAATAATAACTGGTTTTGATGTTTTGGAAAGTTGAATTTGATACAATACATCACTTAATCGTTTTATAACTGTCCATGGTCCTGTCCATTTTCTAGCTAATTTTGCTTTAGTTCCCATAATGATTTTTGGTTGACTTCGGCGAACTAAATCTCCAATATCGTAATTCACTGAATGTACATTCCTATTGTAATAGTGTTTCTGGCGTTCACAATTCTTTCCGGTTACTTCCCTTACAATGTCGTACATTTCACTCAAAGAATTTTCCAGTCCCTGCACATATTCCGCTTGATACACTGAATTTCTTTTTCCGTCAAAATTCTTGGTTATAAGGTCAACAGGTAAGGTAATTTCTTCGCCAAATACCATCCGATAGGGCGTGATTCCCGTTGTTTCGTGTATTGTACTGTTGTATGCAAATACCATTCCATCCACATATTTATCCCAGTCAGTCTGATTCACAGAAATGTATTTAGAAAGCATGTCTTTGATTGTTTTGTTACAGTACCCGCATCGTTATTCTTTACAATTCTATCGTGTTCTATCGTGCGTGTATCCTATCGTATCGTGCGTGTATCCTATCGTATCGTGCGTGTATCCTATCGTATACTGCGTGTATCCTATCGTATCCTATCGTATCGTGTTTTCCGTTTCTCAGGTTTTGCGTTTTCTATCGTGTTTTCCGTTTATCGTGTAGATCGTTTATCAGGTTCTATCGTGTATCGTGTTTTGCGTTTATCGTGTATATTCGGAAACCCTCGCTTTTTATCTTTACTAAACAAAGAAACTACTGAGCTATTCCGAGTTTCTTTTTCGTTTTGTTAATAAAAATAAGATTAATTCAACCGAAAAAGAGAAAATAAAGTTTTATCCATTTCTTTTTCATCAATATAAGAAATATTAAAGCGTAGAAGGAAAAAAATTAATAGCACATTTCATAAATGAATCAATTGATTTATTAATAAATAATTAAATAAGTAAATAAAATAAATATATCATTGTAAAACAGAAAGTGATTGTCAAAATTTAAACAGTAAGAAGTAAAATTATAAGTAAATCGATTACCTGGTCAATTTTTTTTTTTAAATAATTTATCGAATTGTATGATTTATTTTGTCAAAATTAAATACATTTAATATGATATTCTTAAATGAATCAGAGTTACCGGAGAATGATTTTTGGTAAGCTACGATGTTCGCGTACACAAAAAGCAAATAAATAAATAATAAGCAGGGTATTGATATGTATCTTTCTTTCATGCAATATTCTGTTTTTCCTTGTTTATCGTCTGATAACGTTAGTAATATTTTTACGCCTCTGATCTGCATGTATGCACATTTATTAGAAGTCTTGATGTTAGCGGTAACTGGAAATTCCAGAAGCCCCCCGTTTTTTGGAGAATACCTATACAGAAGGGTAGAAGCCCCAATAAAGTGGTAGAAGCCCCATAAAATTCAATGAAATGGGTTACATAAAACCCTAAGGTGATGTTTAAATGAATGATATTGATAACCGTAAATTTTAATCGCCAATTTTACTCCAAAGTCGACAGAAATCGGGCGACATTTCTTCTTGTCTTCATATACCGTACACCACGCCCGATCTAAAATCTCGATCGCTGAAGTCGTTTAGAGTAATCCGTGAAAATCATTACCATTATCTTGATCAAAAGTGAATAATATAATATATGATTTTTATTTTAAAAAAATATATATGAAAGGAAAGTTAAGAATATAAATGAAGCATCAAATATTTACATATTTCCTAAATGAAATAAAATATTAATTATGAACATATTTCATGGCCTGCTTGAATACTTTTATCCACACTGGTTTGCACCTACCAAAAAGAATTTTATATCGAAAATCATTATTGAAAATATGAAAATATTTGTATAGATTACGTGTACTGTTACATAAAAACATTGAGATTTAACCTGTTGATATAGATTACTGTAACAGTGAAAATACTAATTGATTGGGTGTTTTAAATGAATTTAACTAGGCAATTAATAATTAATGAAGTTCCTTTTTGAAAATTCCGATCATTTATAATATAAAATTAAGTTAAATAAATTAATGAATAAAGTGATTTAAGTTGTTAATTTATTTAATTTCAAAGGTATTTGTTTTGGTTTCTTTTTCTTCCAATTGTTTATTTATATTTGAAATTCAGTATTCATGCATTCATTATTATTTTCCAGTTACTTGTTGTAATTTTTTTTTGGTTCTGTTTTATTTTGGGGAGGTTTTTTTTTAATCATTTTTTTGTTTATTTATTAGAACAAATTATACTCATTGATACTAGAAAGCAATATGTATCCATTAGAATGAAATGTGCGGTCAACCAACCCCTCCCCCCTCTCCCCTATCTGACACTTCGGCCCGTGTGTGTTTGATCACCATCAACATACCTGTACTGATTTCTCACCTGTGGTCAATTAGTAACCTCGAATACTACCTGGTTCTAATAAAACGCATCTACTTATTTTCGGGAGTTTGTTCCTAACTTGTTTGAACAAACTTATCAAAGATTTACTTCAAGATAAATTAAATAATTGTACAATTTATGGATTAAAAAATCATCTCACTGCATGAATGTTA